AATTACGTGGTTAATATATTATATATGTATATTATATATTTATACATTATTATACAGTGTTGTCTGACCGTAACGATTTTTCATGTCTTCTGGAGGTTTCGTGAGGTTAATTTCATTACGCTTGCGTTCAATTTACCGGTCACGCCGATGTTATAATATTATTATTATGTTTATGTTTGGAAAAAAATACAATACAATACTATTTGACTGTAGAGCTGTTTTTTTTTTTTTTTTTTGCTTACCGTATTGAATGTAATATTGTACCTATTACATTATAATATTATGATATTCAGCAATACGTGCACGGGCGAGCGGCGATAAAGTTTTAAAATTTCAGTGGTTTTTGGAACGTGCTAAAATAATCAAACGTTTTTGGTTCGACTAGAAATCGGTTAATCGTTCTCAAATATATGCATATATTATGAGTATATACTCGATTAAAATTAGATATTAATTAGGTACCTCACGTTTTTCAATGACAGCCAGTCAGAAAAACAATTGCATTATATACAACAACTGACCAGAAGATATTTTACATTTATGAATTTTAATATTTTGTTTAAGTAATCATTCATAGAACTTGGTTATTTCAATAAAGATTTCGACGAAAATATAATTTCTTCAGAATTTATCTACGTATTTCAGTTTTCACGCACCATTCTTCGTCGTGAAGACGGTGAGCAACATAAGTCTTTTTGATTGTCTTCTCCTTGAAGTAAAGTAGACTTTAAAGTGCATTTCAAAAATCTTAAGGTTTTTATAAAATATTTTTGTATATTTAACGATGCTCCAAGGTAAACTATGAAGAAAAATAAGGATAACCAGCATACAGTACACATTTTGTTAAGTTACAAATTTAATTGTTTTTTACAAAACTTAAAATAATTTACTAAACAAATTTAACAATAATATGTTGTTAAGAAGATTTGTTTGCTATAGTTTTTAATGATTCATATTGACATATTAAGCCATCTACATTTCTTGAAATACTATTTTATATAACAATATGCTATTCGCTTTAAACAAATAATTTATGTTAACCAATAATATTAGTAAATATTTTGAATCGTTGAATTATGTTCTTGTTTAAAACTAAGAGAAAATAAGTATTCCTTAATTTATAATTGAGCAATTCAACCGATAAATCAACTGGTATTAAAAATATGACATATTTATATATACCATAGTGTATTGAATAATGGCTAGCGAAAAAAACAAAACTGTAATTGTAAAATAACTTGGTCATAACTTATCATCAAGTTTAGGTTTTACAAAATGCCGAGAAATAAAAAATACAGAGATGGACCTTTTGTAAAAATAAGTTTAAATGTATTTTTAAAAACTAATAATAGTATTTACACTGAAACTTTTAATGATCGGTATCACAATTGACTTAGCAAACAAGACATTAATCGGAAAAAAACTAAGTAATAATCTCAAGGAAAAAATGGTAGAAGAGATATCGGTATTACAATCGAAACTTATTTGCAGAGAGTTAAAAACCTTTGATATAAATAGTTTAACTTTAAATGATAATCTATTACCAAGTGAGGTTTATTTAGGACCAAATTTACCAATCCCAATATATACTATTTAGGGGCTGATTCAGGCTGGGTTTATGGTTTTATATTATTATAAAATATTGATAATGAATATTTTGAGCTATGGTAGTTATGGGTGTGTTATGTTTGATATAATGATATTATGTTATATCAATAGTTATATGTAACTTATTTCGTATTTTATTATTTAGTATTTTGTCAACGAATGTCTGTCCGTTGTTTTCTTACCGTATTTAGTCGTTTTTGAGTCAAAAAATGAGGAATATTTTTTAAAAATAAAATATAATGCAACTGAACTGTGTAGACAGTTTGGAGGCGAAAATGAGTTTATTAATTACTTTGAGCAAAGACGTAAAATTCAAAGTAATTTGGAAAAATATTATTGAGTCTACAGATGGAAATTTTAAATGTAATACATATTTTGTTATTTTTGATTCATTTGCTAATACATTGAAATGTCGCTATGAAAATTTCTCTAACATCGTTAAAAATTCAAAATACTTAATCTAAAAAAAATTCCAAAGAGAATATAGATAAAAGTCCTGTTTTTATTAAAAATTTATTAAGAATTTATGAAATTGATATAGAAATGCCGTTGATTTGATGTAGTTTACCATCAAGTATATCACGAAATAGAACCGTTAAAAATAAATGAAAGATTGATGTTCGTGGTCTGCCGAAAAATAATTGGTCTCTTCGTATTAAAATATGTATACTTTCTATGATATTATGTTTTGTACACTTTTAGTCAGAAATGCAATTGCAGAAAGAAGTATTAGCCGGCTGACAATGTTTTATAGTTATATTGAATGTTAGTACTAAAATGTGATATGAATAAAGAAAATTGCAAACGCAGTGAACGACTTTGTAGTATATTACTGGTTCATACTTTTATACAGTGACTTCTCGTAAGTGGGATAAGCCTACAGTACTAAAATCCTGATACTACCTATGTTATATGACTATCGTTTTCGTGCGCTTATAGAATAGATTAAATTACGAGTATATTGGTTATTAAATTAGATTCACTAAATAGTAAGAAATGTATAATGATAATAAAATTATGGTACATAGTACATACTGCATTACTGCTTACGTATATTTGGCTGCATATGAATTGCATACTGGTTTTTATACGATTATACTAATTACATCTCGATTATCTGATATCAGTATACAAAATTATTTAATTAAACAATCGATATGGGTATTATGAGTTATGACTATTATCTATCGAATAACACTTTATGAAATTATATGAAATGAATGTATGGTATGTGTTTCGATTGTGTATCGTTGACCATCGTGCGCTATTCCGTTTTCAAAAGTTATTAAATAATGATATTAACATATAGTGTTGGATGTCTTGTAAAAAAATATAGAAGTCATACATTAAATTAAATGGTAAAAATGAAATATTTAATGTATTAGTGAGCATAACCGTATCCTCGTGATTCTGTTAAAATGTTATAGAGACAAAAATTAAACAATAATTTAAAACACATGAAAGTAGACGATCTTTAAGATAAACCATCAAAACTAATTCATAGGGAATCATCAAATTTAATGACGTATCAACATTGATAACGGACGCAATTGTGAATTTGTTGAAAATTATTGGCTAGTAATTTGTTTGGAAAAAAAATTTTGAGACGTAATTCGATTTCTGTCTGTGGTATATTTTATATAATTCCTATCTAATTAATAGATATAATCCCTTAATCCTTATTCCTTACCACCATTGAATCTTGTCGGGTCAATACTATTGTATTATTTTTATTTTTGCAACTACTTACGTTTTCTGAAAATATATCAGGAAAAAAAATAAATTTGATTTCATAAAAATGTATGCAGTAATACAACATAAACCTACATGGCTACATGAGCCATGCGTAAATAGCTTTTGATTTATTGTAAAATATACATAACTATTCAAGTAACTTTGAATTAGACAACATTGTTGACATTTTCTGTATTTAATTTCTACAAATCAAAACGATGACAAACTAATGTTATTACTTATTAGTATTTTTGCCACCAAACAAACCCAAAAGAAATTTTTAATATTTTAATATTTTTCAAAATCATTTGTTTTTTACAAATGTAAATAAATAAACAATAAATTTATTTTATATAAACTGTATTTTTTTTATTTTTTATTTTGGTTTAAGCTATTTTAGAGTGTGGAGTAATTATGTTACTCCAGAATCCGACGATAATATTGTACATGTATTACAGACAATGTTAGTTTGTTTCACTCGACTACTAGGGGAGGGGATTACTGATAGTTTTAGACTTTTTCATTACTGGGATCTTCTAGTTAAATGAATAATTACATAGGTATATGCTTTGACTAAGATATTTCAAATTTTTTTAAAAGTCCATATTTTCAATGTATAAATAAATAAATATATATATATATATTTATTTTTTTTAATGAAGTATAATAAACGTTTGTTCTATTTTTATCGTGTTTTAAACAATTATTTTTTTTTTTTTTAATTAATAATAATGCTTTGTTTTAAAAGTTTAAAATATGTAATAGAATATATAATGCAACATAATTTTGGTAATAGTGGAGATCTAAATATTTTGTTTTTACCACTGTGGCTTATGAAAAAATTTCTAATTCCAATTTATAGGATTAATACAATCAAATAATTTTAAGTAATTTAATTATTACTGTTTTATTGGTTTTATTCTTCAAAACTTGATTATTAATTTAATTATGTATTAATTTAAAAATAAAATCACATTTTAAGTATTAAAATTTCCTAAAAAATTATTACATAAATACAATTTATAGTTAAGCTATTACTAATAATTTATAATTTATAAGATATATACTCGTATTTTAAATGAAAACGTTTGTAATAATTTTTAAAAGTACGTAATTAAGAAGTTAAAACAATGTAGTTACCCATATATTAATAATGTTCTGCCTTAAAGAAAAATTAAAAATATATAATCTAATACCTTGTTTAATTATATTTATACATAACGTTTATATTTCATGGGAAAAATTACTTTATACATTTTTTTTTAATGTTCTACGTTATAGTTGTATATTTGGAAAATAAAGTAAAACATATCAATATTTTGCTAAGTATACAATTTCTAGAATTTTATACCATCCTAAAAAATTCTGAATCCTGAAAAATAAAAATAATTCCACCGACATTTCTTTTAAATACCTTGATATGGAATCAATAGTTATAAAATGTTTAACTTAAAATCGCACGTGAAATTATGTATAAACATATACTTAATATTTCTTTTTTAAATGTAAATTTTTTTTTTTTAATGATTCTTGTAATGCATATAATCTATTGCACATTTAGTCATTTTTAAAGTTCATATTTGATACATGTTTGGTTCATACAAATAAATGTAGCTCTAAGTATAGTCTATGACTTGATAGAAAATTTAGTATCATGGTCAACCATGAGGACGCGTTGAATGCTGCGATCGATGGCTCGGCAATAATATGGTAGCGTAAGCAGCGTATGAGGACACAGCACATTGGTTCTTGCCACGGGCCAAGTACATGTAACCGTTGTCGCCCCATTTAGAGCTCCACCAGTTTTTCAAAATCCAAGCGTTCTTTGTGTACCCGACTAGCAACATGGCGTGATTAACAGTGCTCGATGAACAGGCTGGATCATCGTATATTCCAGATCTATCAACATAATATATAGAAATGTTTGATATGTGTAACATTATTGTTATATTTTACGATGGAAAATAACAATATATTATACAATAAATTGTGTTTTGCAATTTTAAAATATTTTTAAGTTTAAATACATTAATTTACCCTGTCATTTTTGGATTTTTAAAGTAAACTAATATCCATTTGTTATTTAAAACTATTTTAAAGTTTAGAAGATAGGTATAACCACTTATAATAGGTGTAGTAAATAGATTAGGTTACTATAATAATTAATTTAAATGGCGTAGCATTTTAAATGTGGGTTTGTTACGTTGTTGAGAAGGACAGATGAAAAATGAAATTTAAAAATATATTTATACTAAACATAGATTCATAGTATAATATTATATATCGTTTATAGGTTTTGTTGTATATTATACTTATTATAGTATAAGTGTGATGCCGAATGATGAGTTTAAGTGTTTAGTTATCAATAATCTTCGATAAAAATGTATATCCATTTTTGGAATCTTCTTGTAGTAGATTGGATACGGCTTTGAATATCAAAAGTTATAAAATTTCTAAAATAACTTACTTAATATGTAACTTTTATTTGCATAATGTAATTTAAATAATACTGCTTATCTTTAGAAGCATCTATATAATATATAAAATATAGTCACATTTGGTAAAAACCGATTGATATGCACGTCTTACTAATATTTTTTTTACTGTTAGAAGATAAGTAATATTATACTTATTTAAATTTAATAATATATTTAAAAGTTTAGTAAAGTTTAGCACAAAAAAATAAATATGGTAAAATATACAATACAAATCAGCTATTATGTATAAATTGGTGTATCATTTTTCGCAAAATAGCGATGCTTATTGAAACTTTCAAAAGTTTTTGAACAGCTTTCACAACATTTAATCCTGGATCTATCAAAAGATAACTTTTAAATTGGACATTTCTAAAATTATTTTTGAAAATTTAACATTTAAAAGGGTAAAAAAATAAAAAAATAAACTTGTTCAATTCAATCAAATTAACATTCTGAAAAGAGCTTTGAAGTGCAGTGTATTGACATCTTTTCACTAGGAATTTCGGATTAAAGTCTTAAAAGTTCTACAAATACGAAACATGAAACTCTAAAAAAAAAAAATGTCATCAATGGAAATTAGTATTTGGATAATGACTTTTTCCAATTCAAAGGCATCGATCGATTTTTAAGTGACTTTTAAAAGCTAAATTCAAATACGTACCTATTTCTAAGTAAGAAATTTAAAAAATGCAGAGATTTAATCGGTTGTTTTTTTAATTGATTACCAGCTATTTTGGTAATTTTTAAAAGGCATAATTACATTGAAAAGAAATTTTTGGTTATTTAAAAAAAAATATTTTGACGGTCTTTTGAACATTTAAATAAAGGCTTTATTAATAATTAATTAATATTTATTATTCATAATTTTTAAAAATAAATTCAGAAAAAAATTATAAGTTTACGTGATACTTTTAATCAAGAACTTAATGTATAGGAAAAATCAAATACTTAAAATATGTGTATACTTATATATATATTTATGTATATTACATGTTAATAAACTTACGAGTACAGTTGAAATGTTTTTAGATTTGCATTAACTGATACGCTAATTGGTCCTATCAGCGCTACAGCTGCTTTTAGCGCGTGTTCATCGGATGGTGGCAGTATTGAAATTTTTGATATTTGAAGAACTGCTCTAAACTTTTTGAAATGACATAATGTTTTCTAAAATAAAACTGGTAAAATTAAAAATGTGTAAAAATATTTTGTTAAGAATGAACAAGTACCAAAATAAAAATCCAACCTAATATTTATTTTAGTAAGCTATTTTTTAGTACATTACTATATTATATGTATTTTTTTTTACACAAGCATTAATGTTTAGAAAAGCAATTTTAATTTTCTACTTTCTAATTATTATTATATTATCATTATCACTATAAACATATAGACCAAGATATTACGTACATATTTTAAATTTTATATAAGTAGCTTTAAGTAACAGCACAACTATTATTGGAAACATTGATGTAAACAATTAAAATTATTTTGATGTATTTAGATTAATACTGAATCACTATAACTCGTTACGTTTATCACTTTACAGCCCTCACAGTTATTTATAACAACTTAATAATTAAAACAGATATTTCACAAATTTGAGTAAAAAATAGTGAATTCAATAATTTTACATTTTGGATAGGTACTACTTAATTAAAGTGTGTGTGAAAATTTTATGCCCAAAAAATCATTTAAAGTGTAACAAAAGGTAACGTCTGGTACCAAGTTGGAAAGAATTAAGTTAATGAATGTACAAAGATAATCAATGATAAACTCTGATTGCACGAATGCAACTACATGCGTACAAAGTTCTTATCTGTCTACTCACGCTATCGACTTGTTGGTTGATAACAAAATAATACAAAATACTTATGTTTGACAAATTGACAGCAAAACGTTTTTATATTTTATACTTTGTAGACTAGACACTTTGGTTTTATAAATTATATTGCTCGTGTTTAAATTTTAAATTTTAATATTTTTATATTACAATAATATCGAATAATAGACTAAGTGAACAAAAAATGCTTTATGCATTATTTGAAATACCAATAGATTCTAATGATGAAATTGGTGAAGATGATTTTGACGAGTTGAATGATTTTGTAAATTTAGAAAGTATGGATGGTTATTTACATTCTGATGATGTAGAACTACCTGTTACAGATGAAAATTCAGTGTTTGTTGAACCTTTATATCATAACAATCCTATAGTTATATCTATGCCTCATGATGTAACTAATGATGTATTGCTACCCTCTACTTCCAATAATATTTTATCTGAAAATAGCTCTTAACCCACTATTTCTATATCTGAAAATATTGATTGTAATCAAAGACCATTTACTCCAGTTACATCAGTAAATTGGACAAATATACCCTTTGAACATAGCACAAGCTCACAGTTTCTAGGTAGTGAAGAACTTACAGATGATATTCTTAACTTGGATTCTCCCTACCAAATTTTTAGTTATTTTTTTGATGATGATCTTATTGACCATATTTATGAAGAAACTTTAAAATATAATATTCAAAAAAATGTTTTTTAGGAATCTCCATTATGATGTCTGTTCAAACAAATCCATCTATTCGTAGCTATTGGTCATCAAATATAGGTAATACTATTATTATAAATACCATGCCTGAAATATGTTTGAAAAAATCAAACAATTTTTACATTTTAATGATAACTCTCAACTAATTCCATTCAATAGATCTGGACATGACAGACTTTATCGTATAAGGCTACTTCTAGAAACATTAAATAAAAAATTTCAATTAGTTCCTCTAGAAGAATGTATGTCAATAGATGAGCAATTATGTTCCACTAAAACTAAACATTATTTAAAACAATATATCTCCATAAAACCACACAAATGGCGTTATAAATTGTTTGTTATGGCAGGTGTTTTTGGTTTTGTATATAATGTGGAAATTTATAGTGGATAAGAGAATAATTCAAATCTATGTTTACCTTGTGAACCAGATATTGGAGCAAGTGCAAATGTTGTTGTACGTGTTGCTCGTATAATACCATCAAATGAAAATTTTAAATTGTATTATGATAATTATTATATTTCAATACAGTTAATGATTTATTTAAAAACTAGAGGTATTGAAAGTTTAGAAACTTTTAGGAGAAATAGACTTAAAAATTTACCATTTCCTTCAGATTTTTTTATGAAGTCTAAGGATAGGGGTATTATGTATGAGTGTACAGCTACTGTAAATGAAGAAAAAATTACTGCAGTATTATGGAAAGATAATAAGTTAGTAACCTTACTTTCAACATTTGTAGGTATGAACCCAGTTAAACATGTGAAAAGATTTTCAAAAAAAGAAAAAAAAACAATAATGGTTCCTTCTCCAAATATTATTAGTGTTTATAACAAACATATGGTTAGAGTTGACTTGCTGGATGCAAATATTGGGAGGTATAAAATTTCAATAAAATCCAGGAAGTGGTATATGAGGTTGTTCTACCATTTAATTGATATAACTGTTACAAATTCTTGGATATTACAAAAACGTATTTATGTAAGTAAATGACAAAAATATAAGTATAGTTTGGCAGATTTCCGTGAGCAATTGGCTGTTTCATTAGGTCAAATAGGATAATTAGTGTCACCTAAAAGAGGTTGACCACTTAAAGAAGATAAATTTATAATATATGTTCCTACTGTACATAGGTAATACAAATAAACGCTTATTTTATATTTGATATTCACATTTCCCAAGTAAAACCTAATTTTCATGTAATATAACGTATTTTCATAAGGGTTAAGAAACCGAGCAATAAACAAACGTGATTTTATATTTTATATATTTTCAATCAAGGAAAATAGTATTAAAGAAAAATTCAATATCATAATATATTAGTTTTTATTTACACAGTCGTGTGTATTAATAATATAAATATTGATTTTTAAATACGTAATATTTTATAGGGAAATAAATCCATACAAAAGTTCTAAAGTATACTCTAAAGTTCTATTAAAGCAAATAGATAAAACTATCTATCAAACTAAACGAAATTAAAGATCAATCGTCCTCTGGCCCATCTACAATGCCCTCATAAGAAGACAAAACACAATCATCACTGGCTTAGGATAAGTTTAAAATCACTAACTCACCGATATCTTATGTCATGATAAAATCCTACCATCTGTAAAAACTATGGAGTTTAGCTAATAGTAAAATATATGTAGTTTAACTGAATGATACAATTTTCAGCAAGGACGAAAAGAAACCCTTTTGTCTAATTCTTTATAGGTAATTATCAGCCCAGACCTTACTGCTTTAATCAACCACGTATTTGAAAATATTCAATACCTATAAAATATAAAATAATAGTGTAATCTACTTGTTTGATTTTAATTTTATCATATATCTCTGTAAAATAAGTGTTTTTGATATTTCCAATGACCAATGCTGCGGTAAATGTATTTTTATTAAATAAAAAAAAAAATAAAAAAAAAAAAAATATATGAAGTTTAAATATAATAATAAAAGTTGTAACTTAAATGAGTAAGTTTAATGAGAATTTGATAAAAATAAAGTAAAATTACTATTAACATAAATTTGAATTCAATAAAGAAAAATAAACACTCAAAAATATTATCCTGAAAGTTTGGAAATTCATTATAAATTAATTTATGCTTTGAATAATATTATTGTGAATTTAACAAATATACATATATATTATATTTATTTTTAAAATTGTATAAATTGATCTGAGTTTAAATTAATTTAGAGTTATGTATTGATCTATCTTAAAACTTGGTATTTTAAATTAGATACAAGCAGATTGAATACATTTAGTATTTTTAAATTGAACTTAGTTTAAAATAACAAATAATTAACATAATTTAACTATTAAGTATTGCTTAATGTTAAGTTGTTATCTAACATTAGGCGATATTATTCGATATTGTACTGGGATTGGTAATAAAAGAACGCATCGTTAGTCTCACGTTTTAGTTACGTCGGTGACACTACTGATTAACATCGCAATTATAATACCTACAATAACTAATTGCCTCATTAGTGATTATATAACAAAGTTTAATATCAATTATTACAAAAAGTTAATAATACAATAAAAATCAATTTATTTATTTAATTTATACGGTCTGCTTATTTTTTTATTTTAACCTAAATTAACTCAAGCCAAAACAAGTATTTATAAGTTTAATTTTTATTAGTTATTTCCAACATCAAAAGTTTTCAATTATTAAATTAATAAATAAAAAAAAAAATATAATTTAGTAATTTAGATAAATTTAACTTCAAATATAAAAACAGCCCACACATGTCGATGTATTTTATTTAGTTGAATAATAAAAAAAAATATATATATGAACTTCAAGAAATAATATAAGTATTATATTTGCATAGAAACTAATAAAAATAATATTGATTTATGAATTTAATCTTTTTAGTTCACAATTCCTTGATTTTTTGGTAATGAATAATAATTATAAAAACATTCAATTTTGAGTATAATTGGTTCAGACAAAAGCAAACAAATAAATCGTTTATAAAATAAAACTTTACAAAATTCAGATATTGGAACATAGCCAAAGCTTTTTTTGGCTTTTGTTATTTACCTTTTAGTGATGTCTTATACACATTTTCTAGAAAAAATAATAACAATTGTTCTATCAAAATAAATTGATTTTCAAGCTATATTCTAAAGTCTTAAAAAAAAACTACATTCATTGTGATATTGACTTAGGTTTAGAATTGCAAACAAGTGAACTTATATTTAAGCTAAAACAGAAAATTTGTACAAGTTCAAAAGAAATTTAAATTAAATATAGATAATACTCGTATATCCAACTGTACATGTCCCATATCCCACACCCACAAATACAAATAATTATAATTATTATACAAATTTCTTCTAAAATGTATTTCGAAGCAATTTATTTAAAAATTGAAATGCATAAATCAATTTTATGTGGATAAATATTAGTAAAGAAAAATATTTAAAAGTAAATAATATTATGAATTAACATTGGATTTAATGAAGTTAAATTTTCATATTTTAAATGTTCAAAACAAACGGATTCGACTTAATAAATTTATAAATAATTATTATATTTTTAAATAAGACAAATAATTAAATAAAAGAAAATGTTGTTTGAATTAATAAGTTGCAA